TCCAAGTCAGGATAGTGAGTGGCTTGGAGGGGATCTTTAAGGTGGTGGTGTTCCCATGTATCTGTTGCCCTTGTCCTTCAAGATGGAAGTGGTTGTGGGTTTGGAAGGTGCTATGTGAGGATCTTTGAATTTCTGCAGTGCAACTTGTAGATAGTACACACTGCTGCTACTGAGCGTCGGTGGTAGGTTGAGTGGATATTTCAGATGTTGGATAAGATGCTAATCAAGCGGTCTACTTTGTCTTGGATGAATTGAACTGAGTGGTGTTGGGGATGTATTCAGATGAATCTGCTGCTCTCTTGCTCCAAGGCCTCTGTGTTCTTCCTGAAGGGCAATATTTAAAACCTATTGGGCTGGTTGATGAGGGAATTTGCTAATTTGAAGTCCATGTCAGATGTTACTCAAAGGGGAGACATGGCCTAATGGTATTATCGCTAGACAATTATAGCAGACACCACGGAAATGATCTGGGTATCCAGGTTTGAATCCCACCATGGCGCATCGTGGCATTTGGATATAGTTTAAAATCTGAAATTAAGAGTCTAATGATGACAATGAAGCCTTTGCTGATCATCAGAAAAAAACATCTGGTTCACTAATGTCCTTTAGGGAAGGAAACTGACATCTTTACGCGTGACCCCAGACCCACAACAAAGTGGTTAGCTTTTAACTGTCCTCTGGGCAATTTGGGATGGGCAATAAATGCTGCCTCGCCAGTGACGCCCTCATCCTGTTAATGAATTTTTTAAAAAGCCAGAATTGGAGTTGAATTGCGATCTCACTCATGTTTGTGAGTACAGTAGAGTTACAGCAGCAGAGTGGTTATGTTATTGTTGAGTCATCCAGGGAAGATGGTTGGTTCCTGCTTCAACAATGCAGCTGGTGGGTGAGTATTTTCCATTGTTAAAGTAAGACCTATCTTCATGTCTCCAGTCTTTTTTTTTTGTTAAAAACAACTTGCTAGTTATAAGATTGATACTAGTGCATTAAAGAAAGGGAAATAACAGAATAAAATGTAAAAAGTAGGGAGACTGAAGTGATTTCAATTAATAACGGTGGAGATGACTGGTTGGGTGATGCGTTGCAGCTGCAGCATGTGGGTCTTGCTGGATGATCAAGTACAGGAAGGTATGGTTGTAGGTAAGAGAGGTATTGGGCAGTACCCAAGGCGCCTCAGTTTCTGTAACTGTCCAGCACTTATGGGGTTCTTGTAAACTGTGTTGTTTAGAGTGGTGACTGCGGGGAGGATGAACAAACTGACCATGGCATCTTGGTACAGGGAGCTATTCAAGTGGAAAGAGGAAATAGAAATGTAGTGACGATAGGGGACAGTATCGTTAGGGAGATAGATAAGTTCTCTGCAGCTATGAGCAGGAGTCCTGAAGGCCATGTTACCTGCCCGGTGCCAGGTTAAGGACGTCTCCTTTGGCTGGGGAGGAACTTAAAGAAGGTGGAGAGGGGTCCAGTTGTCGCCATCCACATTGGCACTTAAAGCATTTGATAGGATTGGAAAGGAAGCTCTGCTGAGAGATTTTAAACAGTTCCGAGCTACAGAGTCATTATGGCAGAGAAAGAATCCATTCCGCCCATCAAGTCCTTGTTGGACATTGCAGGCATTGCAGGGCCCCAGCTGCAGGAGGGTAGAATTATAGTGTGACAAAGTTTACACTGGTAGTTTATAGGACCAATCTGCATGTAGGACTTTGTACCGAGCTTGTAAAAATAGTTGATTTTAAAATGGTGACTGAATCATGTGTTCATATCCTGGTTGATTAGCTGTCATGCTCTAACCCTGTTTCATTCACAGATGTGGATTTGCCACTCTGTGTGCAGTGTGATGGGATATTGAGTGGTAACAAATATTCTTCTGTTTGTTACAGGAACATGCATTACCCTCCAGAAACAGCCAGCATTATGCTGATGGCTAGGATGGTTGCCATAGTGAAACAGGTAACTAGAGATTACCAGGCTCTGTAAGGTATGTCTTATTGTACCAGAACTGATGAATGACAGGTTTCCTTTCACACAATGAGATGTAGAAAGTGGTTTGTCAATTCAGTTTGGTTGTCCTGGGTCAGCTGGCCTCAGCCACAGTAACAATTTGCATTTATATAACCCCTTTAACCTGAAAACAGAATCCACTGTCACAGCTCTGGATGAATCTCAAGCTGCACTTGTGGATCTGCCGTATTTCTTTCAGATGTTCAGTTAAACTCCCCTCAGTAATAGAGCCTATGGCACTAGCTCAAAGCAGAGCAGGGCAGTTCTCTGCTTGTGTGCTGAATCAGTATTTCATCTTCAACTCCAAATACAAGGTTGTTTGGGTCAGTCATGTCATGTCTCAGTAACGCAACTGTTTTTCTACTTAACTGTGTCTATTTTGAAAGAATGTTCTTTCTGTGAGCATTGTGTAAAGCAGGGTCGTATGGGAGGTTCTGGAAGCTGATAGTATTGATTCAGTCGTGTGAGAATTGGATATATTTCTTTCAGAATGCAACGTTTAGGGACACAGTCCATCAGTGATGATGTGATGAGTGTGATGTTGGAGTGCAGGTAACTTTAGGTTTTGGTCCCCCAACTGTCTCCACTGGGGGTTTCACACACCTCATGTCCGGGTCTGAGATAGTAGGAACTGCCGATGCTGCAGTCTGTGATAACAAGGTGTAGAGCTGGATGAACACAGCAGGCGAAGCAGCATCAGAGGAGCAGGAAAGCTGACGTTTCGGGTCTGGACCCTTCAGAAATTTCTGAAGAATGACGACTGAATCAATACTATCAGCTTCCAGAACCTCCCATACGACCCTGTTTTACACAATGATCACAGAAATTTCTGAAATTACACTACAGGAGAAAAGGGTGCTGATTGGCTCGCAAGTTGACTCTGCCTGGGGTGTTTTCTCAGAGAAAGCGCTTCTTTTAATTACTTGGTGCTTGGGGAGCTTGTTTTTTCCTCCACGGCCAATCAGGTGCTGCTTGCCAACCAATCGGCTTCCCTTTGGGTTGTGATAGGTTGAAATTTGGCATTCTTGTGTGTGCCCTGATGAGTGAGAGACAAAAACATTCGGGAACCAGATGGACCCTGGCCTTTAGAATTCCTGAAGTTCCTAACTGGATTAATCTTTTGCACTAAACATTATGAAACTATTTTAAGCTGGTGTAATTCTTGCTCTGTGAGTGATCATTTCACTAGATTTCCCAGTTTCTGTCATCCTTTTTTTAAGGAACTGCATGGGGATGGGTCCATGAATGGACTCAGTTCGCCAACCAGTGTCTGGCATTTGGAAATGTGCAGAGATCGCTTTAACATCCTCGTTTCTGCCTCTCTTTCTGTTCAAAGGCTAAAGACAAGGGCCGCTGGGTGAAGCTTTTCTCTCAGTTCTGCAGCCGAACAGCCAATGAAGAGGAGGAGATAGTTCACAAACTGATCGGAGACAAATTCCAGGTGGGAGCTTCCACTGGCATGACCTCGTTCTCCGTGTTACCATGGCGTGTCCCGCAGGGTTTTGGAAAATAACCTGACCGGCAAGGTCAGTGAGGGGCTACTAAATAAGCCAAGTGACAAGGTCAAGGAGAAGTCAATAACTTGTCCAACCTAGCTGAGTACTGTTGGATTTATGGCTGCTGCCGGTATCCTTGGCACCCACCTCCACCCCTTCCATTCCTTCTCGGATTGCGGGCAATGCTGTCCATTTGTGGCCAATTTCCAGTTGGCCATGAGAAGATAATGATGGTCGTCCTCCAACAGCCATTCCATTGGTTTTCTCAATGGAGCACTTTGCAAGAAGGGGAACCAGCATTTGGTGGCGTAGTGATAGTGCCACCACACTTAGTTTTCTTATTCACTCTTGGGGCATGGGTGTCGCTACCTGGCCAGCATTTATTGTCCATCCCTAGCTGCCCTTGAACTGACTGGCTTGCTAGGCAACTTCAGAGGGCTGTTGAGTGTCAACCACATTGCTGGTGGGTCTGGAGTCACACGTAGGCCAGATCATGGTGAGGATGGCAGATTTCCTTCCCTGAAGGATATTAGTGAACCAGTGGTTTTTTTCTGACAATAAACAATGGTTTCCTGATCATCATTAGACTCTTAATTCCAGCATTTTTAAAATTGAATTTAGATCTCACCATCTGAATTGGTGGGATTCAAACCCATCTCCAGATCATTAGCTGACCTTCTGGATTAATGTTTTAGCAAGGATACCATAAGGTCATCATTCGCCTGGATGAGTATTCTGGGGACATGGGTTCAAATCTCACCATGGCAGCTGGCAGAATTTAAATTCATTTAAAATCTAGAACTGAAAACTACACTCAGTGATGGTGGCCATGACAGCCATCATTGATCGGCTCACTAATGTCCTTTAGGGAAGGAAACTGCCATCCTTACCTGGTCTGGCCCACATGTGATTCCAGATCCACAGCAATGGGGTTGACTCTTAACTGCCCTCTGAGATGGTTCTGGCAAGCCTTTAAGTTGAAGGGCAACTGGGAAGGATGTCAAATGCTGACCTGGCCAACAACACCCACTTTCCATGAAACAATAAAAAGAGACAGCTTTTTGAGGTATAGGTTTAGAGTCACATGTAGCCCAGACCAACTAAGGGTTGCAGATTTCCTTCCTAAAGGACATTAATAAACCAAATGTCCTTTCACTGTCAGGAACTTCTTTACTTTCAGTTTTATTTTTGTTTTTAAAACTTCATAGAATCCCTTCAATGTGGAAACAGGCCGTTCAGCCCATTGAGTCCACACCAACCCTCCAAAGAGCATCCTGTCCAGACCCACCCTCCTACCGTGTCCCTGTAACCCTGTATTTCCCATACCCAATCCACCTAGTCTGCACATCTTTGGACTGTGGGAGGAAACCAGAGCACCCAGAGGAAACCCATGCAGACACAGGGAGAATGTGCAAACTCCACACAGACAGTTGCCCGAGGGTGGAATCGAACCCACGCCCTTGGAGCTGTGAAGCACTGCTAACCACTGGGCCACTGTGTCATCTCTTCAACCTCTCTTATTGGCAGCTTCATATCTCTACTGCTTTCTTTCAGGGTCAATTGGAAACACTACGGCAGCTCTTCACTACAGCTCTCTATGAGGACATCCTTGCCCGGGTAAGCTACCAAAATAACAACCCAACTGAGTTAGCAATCAGGTGATCCTACTAACCTACGCCAACCAGCTAAGCTCAGCAAACTAACCTGTTAACTCAATAAACTAATCAGGTGAGCTTGGTAACCAAGCCAGTTTAACACAGCATCCTCAACTAACCAGTAGTTGCTAGGTGAGTATGGTAACATGACCTAACCAGGTCAGCACTGTGAACTAAGATAACAAGGTATAGCGCTGGATGAACACAGCAGGCCAAGCAGCATCAGAGGAGTAGGAAGGTTGATGTTTCGGGCCTAGACCCTTCTGCAGCATCTGCAGTTCCTACTATCTCAGCACTGTGAACTAACTGGATTAACATAATGACCAAACTCGATAACTCAATAAACAATCTTGTGGAATTTCCCTGACAATGGATCTTAACCTTTCTCTTCTCTTCTCTCTCTCCCTCTCTCTGTCTGTCTCTTTCCTCCTCCTCTCTGACCCCTGTCTGCACCCCTCCATCCTTCAACACCCCTCCTCCTTCCTATTCTCATCCTCACCTATTGCTCACATCACGCTCTCTCTCTCTCTCTCTCTCTCCCTCTTTTTCTGCTTTGCTGCACCTTTTTCTCTCTATCTCTCTCTCTCTCCCCCTCCCTCCCTCCCTCCTCCCTGGCAACACCCTTGCCCCTCAATCTTCCCTTCACATCCCCCTCTCCTTTGCACATCCCTTCTCTTTCTCTCACGCTTCCCCCGACCCCCTCCCAATTCTCCCCTTTCTCTCTCTCGCTCCCACTCCCTCTCTTGTACACTGCCTCCCCCCAATGCTGTCCCCCTCACTCTCTCCCTACCTCTCGGTCTTTCCCCCCCCTTCACTGGATCACCCTCTTGTTCTGTCACCGCCTAGATTTTCCTGTTCGCCGTTTAATCAACCACTACGCACCCCTCCTTTTCTCAACACCCCTCCCTACCCCCCCGTCATTCTCACAGTGGTTCACTCCTGAGGGATTCCGCTCTCTCTTCGCATTGGTTGGAACCAATGGGCAAGGCATCGGGACCAGGTGGGTGGTGTCCCTGTGCGACAGGGGATCTGTTTGCCTCAATGGTGGGGGAGCTCCTTTCCCCCCGATCACCCTGAGCATTGGCTGTGATCCATGCTCCGCACTCCCTACTAGTCTGGTGTCAGTCAGATGTCGTGAGGCCAGACCTCACATGGTGAGCCTTGCCTGGCTGTTTGACTGCGGTGGCGTCACTGCTGAGCTCAGCCCCGACCCGTCAGTGTGGTAAATGGTAACCCGGCCTGACTGAACCATGGCTGACCACCTCTTCCCGAAACATCTCCCAGCTGCGACCACATGGAACATTGCCTTGCTCAGTTGGTCCAGCTAAAGACATGCATTTGTATGACGCCATTCTCGATCACTGATATCTGCGTCTTAAGGGCAGCCGGGGATAGGCAGCAAGCTCAGAACCTGCCAGTGATGCCAATGTTCCAAATGTGACAAAAACACACAACTTTTCAACCAATGAAGTATTTTTTTAAAGTACAGTTACAGATGTAAATTGAAAATACGGCTACCAATTTGAGTTCCACAAACACACCATTCCAAAAATGACCATGTCCGTTTTTGGTTTGTTGGCGGGGGGATAAAGATTGACTGAGGAAGACTCCTCTCTTTCTTCAAAGTGGTGACATAGGCTGTTTGTGTCAACCTTTGAGGACAGTCCAGGCCATTTTTTAATGCCTCCTCCAGAAGACAGCACCTCCTGACAGTGCTGCACTCCCTCTGTACTGCGCTGGTGTGGCAGCCTGCTTTGTAGGCTTGTTTTTGGAACTGAAACCACAACCTTCAGCTGTACAGGTTGAGTTCAAATCCCACCGAGATTGAAAGGAAAGAGAGAGGCTGATGTTTAGTCACGTATCTGCTTTATCATTGGCCTGCAAGTGACCCCATCTGTTTAACACATCCGGGAGCAATCGAACTGAGGCACATGAGCTAAATGAGAGAGCTGAAAAACCTCTCTCCTGGTGGGGGAGGGGATAGAGATGAAGACCACAACAAGGTGTCAGAAGCTTGTAATCAATCTGGCCTGTGTAGGGGTGCTGTTAGCAAGCACACCTTCTCACAGTGGGCAGTAACAGCTTGTGGTTGCGAGCCAGTTGACCCTCAGTGAGGAGGTTCGGAGTGACATGATCAAAGCAGTAGGTGGAGATACTGTACACAGCAGCACCGAACCATAGAATAAGGAACAGGTACAAACAGCTGAATGGCCACCCTGTGTTTTGCTGTATAATGGATTTGAGGGCCTGAATGGCCACCATGTTTGCCTACAGATGAGTTGATTGTGTGTCTGATTCTGTGACAGCTCCTTGAGTCAGTGGGTCCATGGCTGTGATGCACTCCAGCTTCCTGTACAGATGAGAGAAGAGCTGGATGCTTTCATAGACCAGCTGTACAAAGACATTGAGAAAGGTAGGAATCTTAGAGAATACTGCCTTTCTGTGCATCGCGTGGGATTCAGAGTGGGGGCTGGGTGTGTGTGTGTGTGTCTGTGTCTGTGGGGCTGGGTATGGGGGGGACACGTGTTGTGTGTGTGTATGTATATGTATGCGTGTGTGTGTGAACGTAGAGAAATAGGGGCAATATAGCTGTCTCAGCCCATTGAGCCTGCACCTGCCATTCAATAAACTTGAGGTTGGTCTGTTTACTCCACTTTTCTGTCTCACCTCTCCCCGCCCACAAAATGTTTCACCTCATTATTTATCAGGAATTTAGCTCCTGGAGTTGCAGTTTGATCTGGAGCTAACCTATCTGCTGGAAGTATTTGCAGGTCAACCAGGTTCAACTTTAAGTGTATGAGCTGACCAGGGAGGGGGAATGTTACCCAGCTCCTTGATGTTGGGAGGCAGTAACACCCCTGAGGGCAGAGTGTGTGTTGAGACAGTTGCTTCCACCTATTCCAGGTTAATGCTGCAGCTGGGACACATCGGATGACATGCAATCCCCAATGTGTTTTAATATACTGTTTTATTTGTTTGTTCAATTATTGAATTTTTTAATATCTTTTCTTGATCTTATCACCAGTTCCCGTACACGTGTAAACACCCACCAGATATTGCTCCGGTCAAGTTAGGACTGATTCCTAGATTGAGGAAAAGACGGAAAATACAAAGGAGCAGCTCCTCACCGAACTCCCTCACTCACTGAACCATTGCCATTCTGCTGAAAGGCACACTGCCTCACTTGCACACACAGTCACTTAACTGGGGATCGGGCGCTAATAGTCATGCCCCACAACCGGGTGTGCGCAGTGTGCTGTTTTCTTTCAGCAATTTGTTTGCCTTGCATGAAAAAATTTCCCCTCCTCTCAGTACTAAGCAGTTGACCTCAAGTTTTAAAACGGTGTCCCCTAACTCTGGACTGTCCCACAAGAGGGAACATCTTTTCGCGCATTCACCTTGTGAACACTATATTCAGGATCTTTAAACTTCAATCAAGTCACTGTTGACTCTTCTAAACTCCATGGGAAACAAGCCCATTCTGCCTAATGATTCCTCATAAGATATCCCACTCATCCCTGGTATTAATCTGGTATACTGCCTCCGATACACTTACATCCTTCCTTAAATAAAGTGACAAAAACTGCACACTGTATTCAAGTGTGGACTCGCCAATGCCCTGAATAACTGACTCTTATATTCAATTCCTGTCATTTCAATGCATCATACTCCCATCTGCCAGACTTTTACCCACTCACTTAACCTGTCTATGTCAGTCTGTATCTTCCTTGTGTGTTCCTCACAACATATTTTTCTACCTATTTGTGACGTCTGCAAATCCATGTTTTTCACTCCCCTCATCTAGGTCATTGAAGTAAATCATTAAAAAGCTGAGGCCCTTGCAGTATGCACTCGTCACATCCTGCCAAGCTGAGAAAGACCCATTTTGTACATACTCAGTTTTCTGACAGCCAGCCAGTCCTCTATCCATACTAATACATTACCCCCTACACCATGAGCTCCAGTTTTGCATTGTCCATAAGGAATGACTCCACGTGACTATGTCAGGAAGTTGCTTTTCTAGTCTGACAGACAAAAATAAACAGGAGTGTCGGAGGTTCTGTTTATGTTGAGAGCTGGCTCTGAGGGAGCTGGATCAGTGCCAAGGCCATAGTCAGTGACAAATTGAGGAACAAATTTGTAAGGAGATCTCAGTTATCTGTAAGAATAATAGGGTAGTTATGGTAGAGGATTTTAACTTTCCAAACATAGGCTGGGACTGCCATAGTGTTAAGGGCTTGGATGGAGAGGAATTTAAGTGCGTACGAGAAAATTTTCTGATTCAGTATGTGGATGTACCCCTAGAGAGAGTGCAAAACTTGACCTACTCTTGGGAAATTAGGCAGGGCAGGTAACTGAGGTGTCAGTGGGGGAGCACTTTGGGGCAAGTGTCTATAATTCTATTAGTTTTAAAATAGTTACAGAAAAGGATAGACTGGATCTAAAAGTTAAAGTTCTAAATTGAAGCAAGGCCAATTTTGACAGTAGCGGGCAAGAACTTTGAAAAGTTGATTGAGGGTGGATGTTCACAGGTAAAGGGACGGCTGGAAAATGGGAAGCCTTCAAAAATGAGATAGGGAGAGTCCAGAGACTATGTTCCTGTTAGGGTGAAGGGCAAGGCTGTAAGTGCAGGGAATGCTGGATGACGAGAGAAATTGAGGTTTTGGTCAAGAATAGGAAGCATGTGTCACATATAGACAGCAGGGATCGAGTGAATCCCTAGAAGAGTATAAAGGCAGTGGGAGTATACTTAGGAGGGAAACCAGGAGGGCAAAAAGGGGACATGTGGTAGGTTTGGCAAATAGGGTCAAGGAGAATCCAAAAAGGTAACTAGGGACAGAATGGGGTCCTTTAAAGATCAGCAAGGACGCCAATGTGTGGAACTGCAGGGAATAGGAGAGTTACTAAATGAGTATTTTGCATCAGTGTTTACTGTGGAGAAGGGTATGGAAGGTAGAGAATGTGGGGAAATAAATAGTGACATCATGGAAAATGTCCATATTACAGAGGAGGTGGTGCTGCACGTGTTAAAATGCATAAAGGTGGATAAATCCCTGGGGACCTGATCTAGTACCGTAGAACTCTGTGGGAAGCTAGGGAAATGATTGCTGGGTCCCTTGCTGAGAAATTTGTATCATCGATAGTCACAGGTGAGGTGCCAGAAGACTGGAGGTTGGCTAACGTGGTGCCACTATTTAAGGAAGGTCGTAAGGAAAAGCTTGGGAATTATAGATCAGTGGTGGGCAAGGTGTTGGAGGGAATATTGAGGGACAGGATTTACATGTATTTGGAAAGACAAGGACTGATTGAGGGTGGTCAACATGGCTTTGTGTGTGGGAAATCATGATTGAGTTTATTGAAGAAGTAACAAAGAGGATTGTTGAAGGCAGAGTGGTGGACGTGGTCTATATGGACTTCAGTAAAGTGCTCAACAAGATTCTTCATGGTAAACTGGTTAGCAAGGTTAGATCACACGGAATACAAGGGGAACTAGCCATTTGGATACAGAACTGGCTCGAAGGTAGATGACAGAGGATGGTGGTGGAGGGTTGATTTTCAGACTGGAGGCCTGTGACCAACGGTGTGTCACCAGGATTGGTGTTGAGCCCACTGTTTTTCATCATTTCTGTAAATGATTTGGATGTGGACATAGTGGATATGTTTAGTAAGTCTACAGCTGACTCTAAAATTGGGAGTGTAGTGGACAGCAAAGAAGATTACCTCAGAGTACAATGGGATCTTGATCAGATGGGCCGATGGGCCAAGGAGTGGCAGATGGAGTTTAATTTGGATAAATGTGAGGTGCTGCATTTTGGAAAGGCAAATCAGGGCAGGATTTACACACTTAATGGTAAGGTCCTAGGGAGTGTTGCTGAACAAAGAGACCTTGGAGTGCAAGTTCATACTTCTTTGAAAGTGGAGTCACAGACAGGATAGTGAAGAAGGTGTTTGGTACATCTGCCTTTATTGGTCAGTGCACTGAGCGTAGGAGTTGGGAGGTCATGTTGCAGCTGTACAAGACATTGGTTAGGCCGCTTTTGGAATATTGCATCCAGTTCTCATCATCCCCCTATAGGAAGGATGTTGTAACTCTAGGAAGAGTTTAAAAAATATTTACAACGATGTTTTCAAGGTTGAAATGTTTGAACTATAGGGAGAGGTTGAATCGGCTGAGGCTATTTTCCCTGGAGTGTGGAGGCTGAGGGGTGACCTTACAGAGGTTTATAAAATCATGAGGGGCACGGATGGGGTAAGTAGGCAAGGTCTTTTCCCAGGAGTGGGGGAATCCAAAACTAGAGGACATAGGTTTAAGGTGAGAGGGGAAAGCCCTAAGGGGCAACTTTTTCACACAGAGAGTGGTGTGTGAATGGAATGAGCTGCCAGAGGAAGTGGTGGGGGTTGGTACGATTACAGCACTTAAAAGGCATCTGGGTGGCTACATGATTAGGAGGGATTTAGAGGGATATGGGCCAAATACTGGCAAACGATTTATATAGGTATCTAGATTTATATAGGGTATCTGGTCGGCATGGACAAGTTGGACCGAAGTGTCTGTTTCTGTGCTGTATATTTCCATGACTGTCTGACTGTCCAGGTATAAATAAAGAGTGACTTGGTGATGGGATACCAGCCTCTCTGATGTTATTTCAGGCACCACCCCAAATGTTAGTATGATGGACCTGCAGGGAGGTATCCAATGCTTCTCTATAGTGTATTTCATTTATTATTATTATTATTATTATTATTCATTCATGGGATGAGGGCGTGGCTGGCTAGGCCAGCATTTATGGCCCTTCCCTAATTGCCCAGAGGGCAGTTAAGAGTCAACCACATTGCTGTGGGTCAGGAATCACATGTAGACCAGACCAAGTAAGGATGGCAGTTTCCTTCCCTAAAGGACATTAGTGAACCAGATGGGTTTTTCCAATAATGGACAGTAGACTCTTAATTCCAGATTTTTATTGAATTCAACTTCCACCATCTGCCATGAGCAGGATTTGAACCCTGGGTCCCTAGAACTTTACCTAGGTCTCTGAATTAATAGTCGAGTGATAATGTCACTAGGCCAATGCCTCCCTCGTTTGTATATCTGTCGTCCAGTCTGGGCGTAGGCGGTGTCTTAGGGAAAAGGGATTTTTGGCCAATTCATGAGATGTGGGCACCAGTAGCAAAGCTGGCACTTATTGCCCATCTCCCGAACTGAATGACCTGCTAGGGCCATTTCAGTCCACAGTTTGGAGTCAACCACATGTGGATCTGGAGTCACATGTGAACCAGATAGAGTAAGGATGGTAGCTTTCTTAAAGGAATAAGAGAGCCAGGTGGGTTTTTATGACAATGGTTATGTGGCCACCATTAGGCTCGCTTTTTATTCTTGACCTTTTATTGAATTCAAATATCACCTTCTGCCAAGTTGGATTCGAGCCCATCCCCAGGACAATAGCCCGGGCATCCAGACTACCAACACTGAAGTGAGTGGTTTGGGTATATAGTGTCATGCGTGCAAACAGTGTTTTCAAAATCCCTTTGTTTTCAAGATTTCGGTAATTATTGACCTGTCTATCATCATCCCATTCAGAATATTGCTAGTGGCCACCAGAGACAATACTTACAGACTCCTGACTATTCCAGCCTCCACTGACGTCCACATCATGAGAATAGGTGGGGATGGAGCTCCCTCTAAGCCATGCACCATCCTGACTTTTCGCTGGGTCAGTATCCTGGAATTCCCTCCCTAAGGGCATTGTGGGCCAACCTATAGCACAGCGGTTCAAGAAGGCAGCTCACCACCACCACCTTCTCAAAGGCAACTGGGACAGGTAATAAATGCCCAGCCAGCGATGCCGACATTCCATGAAATAATACTATCTATTCTGCTCTTCTTCATAGAACCCCTACAGTGTGGAAACAGACCCTTCAGCCCAACAAGTCCACACCGACCAATAGAGCATCCCATCCAGACCCATCCCCCTAATCTACACATCCCTGAACACTACGGGCAATTTAGCATGGCCAATCCACCCTAACCTGCACATCTTTGGATTGTGGGAGGAAACCAGAGCACCCAGAGGAAACAGACACAGACACAGGGAGAATGTGCAAATTCCACACAGGCAGTCGCCCGAGGGTGGAATCAAACCCAGGTTCCTGGCGCTGTGAGGCAGCAGTGTTAACCACTGAGCCACCGTGCCATTTGCTGTCTTCTTATAGACGAGGTGGAGTTCTGGGTGTGCAAGATTATGTCAGGAACGTGCAGACCTTGTTTCCATGGGGCCTGTGTTGTTCCTTTTAAAAAAAATCATCCCATTAGTCCCACCCCGCTGCTGTTTCCCCATGGCCATGTACATTTTCTGAGTATTGTTGTAACTTTCTCATAGAAGTTATTATTGAAACTGCTCCTGGCTCCCTTTCAGTCGGTGCATTCCAGATCTTTATCTCTCTGCTTCTTTTGCCAGTCACATTAAATTGTGTTAGCCACCCTGCTGACCCTGCAAACTGTTTCACCTTTATCACTTTATTAAAACACCCTGCATAATTTAAACACCTCCAATAGATCTGGTGCCCTTTCTTGCAAAAGAGCAGTTCCAGTTTTTCCAGTACAGAACTGTAGAATAATAGAGGGCACAAAGATAACTTCCTGCCCATCAATTCACCAGAGTCCCACTCTCTAACTCCACCCACATACCTCTGCAATTGTTTCCCGTCATAACTGGAACCCATCACTCCCACAGTTGTGTGTGCCTGTGGTCTCAGCTTGGCATTGAGGCTGATTTACCAGCTGTAGGGAGAGCAGGAGTTAATCAGTGGACTGACAGCTTTTGTTCTTCCACAGAGAGTGGGGAATTCCTGAACTGCGAGGGATCCGGCCTCTACGTGCTACAAAGCTGCTGTAAGTGACCGGGATCAGGACAGGAGCACAGCCAGCAATGGATGTAGTTAACCACAGGCATCGATTTCCTATCAACGTTAAGTAAACCACATACCATTGCAAACAAGGAATTAGCACAGCGCTCTGGCTAGGAAAGGTTCATGGGTGACACTGCGAGTACTGTATTAGCATAACAAAGATGTAGGTTAACTCTCTGTAGCTTTACTCTGTATCTAACCCCGTGCTGTCCCTGCCTTGGAGTGTTTGATGGGGACAGTTTACAAAGAAATTTACACTGTATCTAACCCTGTGCTGTTTCAGCACTGAGAGTGTTTGCTGGAGACAGTGTGAAAAGGGCATCATTTGAAGTTTAAAAGAATAATGGAGTAATTTGAAAGAGTACAGAAACTTTAATAGAGATTAACAGAGCAGAAGCTTTACTCTAAGCTGTGCTGTCCCTATCCTGGGAGTGTTTGATGGGGACAGTGTAGAAGGAGCTTTACTCTGTCTAATCCCATGCTGTCCTTGCCCTGGGAGTATTTGATGACGACAGTGTAGGAAGATTTTTCGGTTGATGCAGACTCAATGGGCCAAATGGCCTCCATCTGTACTAGGGATTCTGAGAGAAACGTCTTCTGTTTGCATGCACTGTTGCTGCTTCTTTCACAACTGTAACCTTTGACCTTTCTCTGTAGGTAATCATAGCTGTGACCCCAACGCTGAAACGTCCTTCCCGGAGAACAACTTCCTCCTCCACTTGACTGCGCTCCAAGACATTAAAGCAGGAGAGGTAAGACCTGATCACAGGAGCTGACCTTTCTTGTGCATTTCACCCAGCAGCACTTGGGGTTCTGTGTAACTGGACCAACCTGCCTGGGGAATGGCCTGGCTTATGTCTCATGCTGGGTTAAGGTGAGAGAGTGGACGGTGGGGGGAGCTTGTAACTGGTCTAGTTCCCCACTGCTGAAGTGCTGTGATCAGTTCTGCTGTTAAATTGGCTGCTGGTGCCTTGCATGGGAAGAGGCCACTCAGTCTCATAAGCCATGCTGGCCCTTAGTAAGTGCTGTTAAATTAGCATTACTCTCTTCCCTGTAAGTGGTGAAAGGGCATTTTAGTTAGACACCTCAAGTCAACCATCTCATTCCAACTCATAGAGTCATAGAGTTGTACAGCACAGAAACAGACTCTTCGGTCCAACTTGTCCATGCCGACCAGATATCCTGAATTAATCTAGTCTTATTTGCCAGCGTTTGGCCCATATCCCTCTAACCCCATCCAGATGCCTTTTAATTGTTGTGATTGTATCATCCGCCACGACTTCCTCTGGCAGCTCATTCCATACACACACCACCCTCTGTGTGGAAAAAGTTACCCCCTAGGTCCCTTTAAAATCTTGCCCTTCTCACCTTAAACCTATGCCCTCTGGATTTGGACTCCCATACCCCAGGGAAACGACCTTGACTATATACCCTATCCGTGCCCCTCTTACTAGGTAAAGGTTTGAAAACCTTTATCACTAACCAAGCCCACCTGACAATGATGGATCAGGCTGAAAATCCTTCTCGCGCTCTCTCTCGCGCTCATGCGCTCTCGCTGTCTCTCTCTCGCTCTCATTCACTATGGGTGTCAGTCTCAACTGGGTCTTGAAATCATCATCTAAGCTTGACAAAAAAGTGGCTGCTTTAGCCAATGACTCTCACATCCCATGATGAAAACCTGACTGTCTCACAGTCATTTCTAAGGATTGGCATCTGGCTGAGGGAAGGTGATAGCCCTGCTGTTCGTTTCTGGGAATATATTTTGTTCCAATACTAATACTAGATGTCTAATACAAGGGGGTATGCATTTAAGGTGAGAGGGGGAAAGTTTAAAAGAGATGTGAGAGGTAAGTGGTAGGTGCCTGTAATGCGCTGCCAAGGTTAGTGGTGGGGGCAGAAATGACAGGGGAGTTTAAGGGGCTTTTAGATAAGCACATGAATGTGCAAGAAATGGAGAGATATGAACCAAGGACAGGCAGAAGGGATTAGTTTAACTTGGCATCATGTTCGGTACAACATGGTGGGCCAAAGGGCCTGTTCCTGTTCCGTACCATTGTATGTTCTTTACCCTGACGATGAGTCTGCAGGGATTATCTGTTTGCTTCCATCCAAATATCTTTATGGATTCTCCTTCCTCCCTGTCAGTATTCAACCTCAACACTGAGGTCACCACTTCTTCATGACTCTACCTACAAGGATCAATGGAGCCAACATCTAATTGAATGGTAGTGCAGGCTTGAGGGGCTGAATGGCCTCCTGTTCCCAGGGAAGGGGTTGGCAGTGGCGTAGAATGTGCGTGTATATATTGTATATTTATCTATATCCCACAGAGAGAGGGGGGGTGGTGAGGGGATGGCAGGTCTGGAATTCATGGCAGATGTGTCTTTTTCACAGGAGGTGTGCATCACATACCTGGACTGTTGTCAGCGAGATCGGAGCAGGCACACACGACACAGGATCCTCCGGTACTGCGCCTCATTCCACACCCTGGAACCTGCCTTTTGATGACCCGACCCCACCATCTTCACCCCCCCCCGCCCGACTATCCTGAACACCACCTTTCACTCAGCACAGGCAGCATCAAAACACGCTACCTGTCGTCATAGTATAATACACCCCAGGAGCAGGCCATTCAGCCCATCAAGCCTGTGCCAGCTCTTTGAGCGTGCAGTTCAATAAGGGCCACTCTACCCACTAACAACTCCACAGTTTCCTCCATTTTTGAGTATTCTTTCCCTTCACGTTTTAAAGGTATCAGTGGGTCTGCTTCACCACTCATCGCTGGCATCCTGTTCCTCCAGCCTGCACTGAGCTTCATTCTGGCCAAGGACAAAGCTCAGAGTGGCAATGTGGAGTCATTTTATGACACAGAAAGAGGCCATTTGGTCCATCAAGTCTATGCTAGCTCCCCACAGAGCAACCCAGTCAGTCCACATAGACTTTTACATTTATTTCCTTCAAATACCCAGAAGACCATAAGGAGTGGGAGCAGAAGTAGACCATTCAGCCCATCAAATCTGCTCCACCATTCAGTCGATCATGGCTGATCTGATGATCCTCAACTCCACTTTCTTGCCTTTACCCCATAACCTTTGATTCCCTTACAACCTGAAAATCTACCCCAGCCTTTAATATACTTAATGACCAGCCTCGACAGCCATCTATGGTAAAGAATTCCACAGGTTCACTACCCTCTGAGAGAATAAATGCCTGCTCCTCTTTGATCTAAATGTGCAACCCTTAATCTGAGATGATGCCCTCTGGTCCTAGACTCTCCCAAAAGGGGAAACAATCCGTCCGCATCTGCTCTGTCAGTCCCCTAAAAATCTTGTATGTTTCAACAAGGTCACCTCTCATTCTTTTAAACTCCAATAAGTACAGGCCCAACCCACTCAACATCACCTCAAAAACAGTCCCTCCATTCCTGGGCTCAGCTGAGTGAACCTTCTCTGAGCTGCCTCCAGGACTGGTATGTCTTTCCTTACATAAGGGGCCCAAAAACTGTCCCAGCTGTGGTCTGACTAGTGCTTTGAATAGTTTTAGTCAAATCTCCTAATTCATGGATGAGGATTCCCAAATCCCTCCTTGCTGTAGCCTTCTGCAGTCTTTCTCCGTTTCAATATTATGCAGCTCCTCGATTCTTCCTGCAAACCTCGCATTTTCCCACGTTATAGTCTCTCAGCCAGGTTTTCACATGTTCGCTGAATCTGTCTCTGTCCCTGTGGAGACTCTTTGTGTCATGACCCAGAAAGAGGCCATTTGGCCCATCAAGTCTATGCTGGCTCTCCAGTCAGTCTGCAATCCTCACTTTGCCCATGTAGATTTATATGTTTACTTCCCTCAAATACCCAGAAGACCTTTTAAATCAGTGGTAGTTTCTGTTTGTACCACCTCACAGACCCCCCCACCCCATCATGGGCTGCAGATTTCTGGTCTTCACCACCTGCTGCTTAAGATTTTTCCCCAAATCTCCCCCAGCATTTCTGACCCAAAATGTTAAATCTCTGTCCTCTAGTCTTTGTTCCATCAACTAATGGGAAGAATTTTTTTCTTGACTATCTTATCTAAGCCTGCCTTAATGTTGTACACCTCTACCACATCTCCTCTCAATCGCCTTTGCTTCCACAAGTCAGCCCCACCATCTCCAGCGAACTCTGGACCTGAACCTCCAGCAGCCCTGGATTACTGCTAGTGAAACTCTTATGCTCCCCCCTCAAAGATCCTCCTGTCCCTCTGTCACCAGCCACTGACACTCGAGCCCCGCTACTCCCGCAAGTTAAAGACTAATTAAATTACCCCATTTTACCTGCTTGATAAACTCCATTTACAGGACAGAAAATACTGACCAGATTTTGATATTAACAAGAAACTACTTTATAATTTCAAATCCATTGATTTCAGTACAGAGAAATGTGAGGTATTACATTTTGATAGAAGAAACATGAAGAGACAATACAGGCTCAATGGTACAGCTTTGAGGGGAGTACAGGAGCAGAGGGACCTATAGGCAATTTAGCATGGCCAATCCACCCTAACCTGCAAATCTTTGGACTGTTAGAGGAAACCCATGCAGACACAGGAAGAATGTGCAAACTCCACACAGACGGTCGCCCGAGGGTGGAATTGAACCTAGGTCCCTGGCGCCATGAGGCAGCAGTGCTAACCACTGAGCCACCGTGCAGACCCACGATGGGGTAGCATCTATAAATAGAGGCAAGGAAGTGATGGTACATGCCTACAAATCATTGGTTAGACCACATTTGGAGTATTATGTTTAGTTCTGGGCACCTTATTTAAGGGAGGATTTTAAAGTCCTGGAGAGAGTTCAAGGGTAGATTTATTACAATGATACCAGGAATGAGGGATTTTAGATACAACAAAAGATGAGAGAGATTGATCTTATTCTCCTTGGAGCAGAGAGGATTAAGAGGTGACCTCGTTGAGGTGTTCAAAATTATGAACAATTTTGACAGGGTGAGGAAGGGTATTCTAGTAGGTATCTCAGTAACCAAGGGGTCACAATTTTAAGATTGTCAGCAAGACAACTAGGAGTCAGAAGAGAAGAAATTTCTTGACTCAGTGTTGTTGGCATTTAGAATACACTGCCTGCAAGAGTTGTGGAGGTGCATTCCGTAGGAGATTTCAAAAGAGGGTTGGTTATATATTTGAAAGGGATGAAGTTCGAAGGCTACTGAGATAGGGCTGGAGAGTGGGACGAGCTGGGTCGCTCTTTTGGGAGCCAGTACAGACACGATGGGTCAAATGGCCTATTTCTGGAGTGTAAAATTCTAAATTGGTTTTGACCACAAGTGATCAAAACCTGAATTAACCTCTTACAATTTTCATTTATTATACCATCTTCTTAAACCCCTACATACACACGCAATCAGACACAGACAAGTAAATAAACATTAATGGATAGAGTAAAAGATATTAGAAGATCGTGATGTGATTTCACATGCCCACAGGATTCAAAGAGGTGTCCTTCCAATTCTTTACTAAATACACAGGGTGGTTGGCACACTAATTGTTCAGTCACTGGTTGGGTCTGATGGGAGAGAATAGCTAGCTGTCCTTCAGTTCCAAGTTACTTCACTGCAGAGGTGATGCTGTCGTTTTATAGTCTGGAGGCTTTCTGCTTCTTTATTGTCCACACCCAGGTTGTTTATCTGCCCAGGAACCAATCAGAAAGTTGGTATCATGCTGATGATTCTTGGCCCACACAGCTGGTTCCAAGTGAGAAACCAGAACCAGTCAACAGTCTGTCTCTGGCCAAAACCTGCCCTGAACACAGACCCTTGGTGTCTTGGGACTCAAACATTTTCCCCCAGCCTCCCCTGGCTCCTCTCCCACTGCTTGAATAAAGCAACAGTATAAATACAACTCAGTGTGTTACAGTTTTTAAAACTGCAACTTCTCTTTCCACAGTTTCCTTGGTTTAAAGCAGCATCCTTTCCCCATCCGGGACCACAATCCAAAAATAAAGGGAAATAAAAAATGCAGTCTTTACACTTCCTAAGCTGTGCCTCAGGGATCAGTGCTGGGACCGCAATTGTTTATAATTTACATCGATGGTTTGGAGTTGGGGACCACGTGTAGTGTGTCAAAGTTTACAGGTGACACTAAGATGAGTGTTAGAGCAAAATGTACAGAGGACACAAAGTCTGCAGAAGGATATAGATAGGTTAAGTGAGTGAGCAAAGGTCTGGCAGATGGAGTACAATGTTGATAAATGTGAAGTCATCCATTTTGGTAGGAATAATAGTAAAAAGGACTATTATTTAAATGATGAAAAATTGCAACATGCTGCTGTGCAGAGGGACCTCGGTGCCCTTCTGCATGAATCACAGAGAAGGTTGGTTTGCAGGTACAACAGGTAATTAAGAAGGTAAATGGAATATTGTCCCTCATTGCTAGAGGGATGGAGTTTAAAAGCAGGGAGGTTATGTTACAGCTGTATAGGATGTTGGTGAGGCCACACATGGAGTACTGTGTACAGTTTTGGTCTCCTTACTTGAGAAAGGATGTGCTGGCACTAGACGGGGTGCAGAGGAGAGTCACTAGGTTGATTCCAGAGTTGAGAGGGTTGGCTTTTGAGCAGAGACTGAGTACTCATTGGAATTTAGAAGAATGAGGGGGGAGAATCTTGTAGAAACATATAAAATTATGAAGGGAATAGGTAAGATGGAAGTAGGGAGGTTGTTTCCACTGGTGGGTGAAGGTAGAACTAGGGGGCATAGCCTCAAAATAGATTTAGGACTGAGTTGAGGGGGAACTTCTTCACTCACAGGTTGTGAATCTGCAGAATTCCCTGCCCAGTGAAGCAGTTGAGGCTTCCTCGTTGGAATGTTTTTAAGGCAAAGATAAATTTGTGAACAGTAAAGGAATTAAGGGTTATGGTGAGCAGGAGGGTAAGTGGAGCTGAGTCTGTGAAAAGATCAGCCATGATCTTATTGAATGGCAGAGCAGGCTCGATGGGCCAGATGGCCGCCTCCTGCTCCTATTACTTACTTTCTTATGTTGCCGGACAGGACGTGATACTCGAGTTGTGGTCTAACCAGAGCTTCAGAAACATTCAACTCCCAGAACAGCTACAGCATGGGTTAGATACATTATAAAAGGAATTTAACTCTGTATCTAACCTGTGCTGGCTCTCCTGAGAGTGTTCGATTGGGACAGTGTAGAGGGAACATTATTCTGTATCTAACCTCGTGCTGTCCATGTCCTGTGAGTATTTAGGTTGTATCTGAAATCTGTTTTATTTTCGAAGGGAGAATTATCTGTTCACCTGCTCCTGTCCCAAATGTGTGGCTCAGGCCGGTGACCCTGACCTGACCTCAGATGAAGAAGAGGAGATTGAAGCTGACGCCGAGAGTGCTGAGCTCGAAGATGAGATGACTGATGTGTAAGGCAGTGGCTGGACAAAGGATTCAAAGGATATCTATATCCAAAGGAAGGGGGCTGATCCAGAGGCCTTTTTTCACCAATGCAATAACCACAACTAGACACCACTATTTCTCTCTCTTTCTCTCTCTCTCTCTCTCACACACACATGAACAAATCTCTGTGCAAAGCACTGGGCAGGCTGGTTCCTCAATCACACCAGTTGCTTTATGTGAGTAAGGAAGATTGTTGTTTTGTGGAGGGGATTGTTGTTCGAGTGTGTGATCTCCTGCTCCCCACAAATACTCCCCTCCCTTTACCTTCACCTTCATTGGAATTATCACCTTCTGCCTATCCTCTTGCCCCCTCTGCCTGGGTGGGGGGAGATGAATCAGAATCTGTGCTATAGACACCCTCTCTGGCAGCCCTGTACTGTACGGTGAAGGACCAGGGTGTAGCCTGGTGGCGAAGAGGAGGGGAGGGTTTGTGTGGAGCAGGCAGGGGACTGAGTTTGAGTCTCAATCGCTGTTGAGTGACCCCTCTTGCCAAGTGACTAGATCGAGCCAGAAGCATTGGATTTCTCCTAATGCGGCCTCCCCTCCCCCAGTTGGATAGCCCTCCATCAAGACCCTATCTTGGTGGAAGTTTGAGATTACAAAGAGATGGTCAGCAAGTCCTGGAGCCCGTTCCCCACCTCAATGAAGGTGAAAAAAAGGGTTCAAGATGAAGAGTTCACAGGCCAGGTTATAGTTGTATTAAATTCTGGTATAACATGAGCTCACTCTCTCTCCTGCTGCTAGTGAATTAGTTTAAATGGTTCAAAAGTCCATTGGGTCCTCGTTCAGCTGGTTACAGTGTTGTGTGTGTGAATGTGAGTTCTGATGTTTGGCTGCATTTTGTTGCTGTTTAGTTTGTGTGTGTGTGCCTTAGGACACACTGTCTGTGTGTGTGGATGGGTTCCTGTCTCAGGCTGTGTGTGTGTGTGTGTGTGTGGATCTCTTGCTGTGGGATGTTTGTTAGTGTGTCTGATCTGCTATCTGCCTTAGGGATGAGGTAGCAGTCTCTAGTGCCTGGGTCTTTTCTAGCTCCCGACGTGAGTAAGTGACTGCTGCCAAGAGGGGTCTGCCAATCCATCTGTGGGCCTGCAGTGACCCAGGGTCATGATATATTTGTATTCATAGCCTCTCTGTCTCTGTCTCTGTCCTGCTTGCACAGTGACAGGATGCTGTGGAATCAGACACTGCATGAGAAAGGGGACAGTTCATTGACCCGATTGCTTTATGTGGATCATTGCAGCACAACAAAAGGCAACTGTTTGGCCCATCCAGTCCTTACTACTGTTCATGCATCTCACCAGCCTTTTCCCAATTCTCTGTCTCGCCTCATTAGTGAATCCCTGAGTTGCATCATTAGCCTGTGCCTGGGAGGGCAGGTGTGAACAAGAAACTGTTCGGTTTCACATTATATGTACAGCATTGGGGCAGGGGAGAGCAGGCAATAGCTCTCGTTGCTTTCAGTAACCCTGGAATGTGGTTGGAGGGGGGTAGTGCAGCTCAGAGTCTGCTGACGGGGGTGAGAGATGTTTGGCTGTACATACCCTGATCACATTCTTATTGTTCCTTTTGAAGAGGGTGGCTGTGTGGAGAGGGTGTGGATAAGGAACATAATCAGAAAGGCCGCCAGTGATCTAAGGTGGGAAGGGGTGGGGGGGTCACTGAATTGTGCTAAAGGTGGTGTACCTCTGGTCCCAGTCTGAGCTTTGTGAAGTTGTTGGGGGGCAGGGGTGGGTAAAGAGATGATCTTGATGAAATTTTGCATATAATCTAGGAAGATTCTATATAAATACTTAGCTTTAGGATAGGTTGTAAGTTGGACCAGTCAGACTCCACTTGGGTCAGCAACATTGCGGCTGCCCATTCGATTCTCACAGTGCTGAGGCATGACCAATCTGCATGTACTCAATAAAATGACAGAAAACAGTGAATGGAGTCTGGTTTCTTTTTATTCTTTAATGGCATTTGGCCATCACTGTCTAACCCTAATTTCCCTTGAACTGACTGGCTTGCTGGGCTGTTTCAGCAGGAACTCCAGTCAATCCCATACAGGAGTCACATAGGCCAGACCGGGTAAGGATGGCAGATTTCTTTCCTTAAGTGACATTATTATTTTTAACCATTGGACTAGCTTGAACTCCAGTTTTTATTGAATTTATATTTCACCATCTGTCCTCGTTGGATTTGAACCCATATCTCTGGATCACCAGGTACGACTTGTTCCACTCCTCACTCTTCCTTAAGTAAAGCCCTCCCCCCGCCAAAAACCAAGCCTGGCAGGCAGGTGGATCTCAACCAGGATTCCTGTGGCAGGAAAATGACAGGACAGAGGCTGTAATGAATCACTGTACAAGTTCATTTTGAGAAGATCCTGTGACAGAACTGCAACTGCAGGAGTTAGAAAAATAGTCATGAAAAGGAACAAGTATTTGGCAGTGACTGTGCACTGGGTTCCCACCCAAGTCCGTAACTGTGGGAGAGATGGGAACAGAAACAGGGAGGGGAAGAAAGTTAACAGCAGGTTAATCTATTAAATAAAGTGAGAAAACACAAGCATCATAAAGTCTTTGTTTGATCGAGAGCGCATCTTTTGGAGATTAGTGCAAACGGGCCGGCTGTCACCAGAGGTGTCTGAACTGAAATTTCAGAATCCCACTCTCATTCACTGAGATGGAGATGGGAGACCATGCAGCTCCAATGATTACCTGATCATATATACCTGCCAACAGTGGGGAAAGCAAATGCTGTCAAATCATAGAATGATATCTGTGCTGGAGGCCATTTGGCCCATCATGTCTGTGCTGGCTGTTTGGATTAGTCCCACTCCTCTGCTATCTCTCCTCGTGACTCCTTCAGATATTTATCCAGTTGCCTTGTGAATGTCACGTTTGGTCTTGTTTCCATTAGCTTTTTCTGGCAGCACGTTCCACACCACAACTCCCTGTGTAATAATGTTTCCATCCTTATCTTGACTCCCAAATTTATTTCCCTCAATTGCCTTCCAATTTGCTCTATGAAGCCATTCGTTGTCTCCTATGTCCTGTGTGTGGGCAGCAAGGTCCAGGTCATTACCCCTCGCTGCACAAAGCCTTTCCTCCCATCTGGACTGCCCCCTGCCCAAAGTCTTCATATTTCTATCCCCCGCAGTCCTTGTCCAACCAACCAATGGGAGCGGCTTTTCTTTGTTTATACACTATTGCAGCAAACCAAAGCCTCAAATCACAGATAGGGATATTTTCCAAGTCAACTTGTTCAGAGATGTTATTGCACACCTCTGGAGCAGTAGGACCTGAACCCAGGTCACCAGGTAAGGATGCATCCACTGCACCACAAGAGTCCCCTTTTCTCTCTCTCTCGGCCTGTCCTCTTCTGCACACCTCAATCAAATCTCCCCTCAATCGTCTTTGTTTCCAGAAGAACAACTTAGTCTTTCCAAAAGGGGAAAGGCTTTAGAAATCTGAAGCACAAAGGGACTTTGGACTCCTAGTTCAGGATTATCTTAAAGTTAACAGGAAGATTCAATTTTGCAGTTGGGAAAGCAAATGTAAAGTCAGCATTTGTTTTGAGAGGGCTAGAATATAAAAGCAGGGATGTACTGCTGAGGGTGTATAAGGTTCTTGTCAGACTGCATTATGAACAGTTTTTGGCCCTGTAATGTAAGGAAGGATATGCTGGCCTTGGAGGGGTTCCGGAGGGGTTCCAGAGGAAGTTCATAAGAATGATTCCAGGGATGAGGATCTTGTCATATGAGGGGCTTTTGAGGACTCTGGGTCTGTACTTGATGGACTTTAGAAGGACAAGGAAGGATCTGACTGAAACTTACAGAATACTGAGAGGCCTGGATAAAGTGAACATGGAGAAGATGTTTCCACTAGTAGGAGAGACTAGGACCTGAGGGCACAGCCTCAGAGTGAAGAGACAATCCTTTAGAACTGAAATGAGGAGGAATTTCTTCAGCCAGAGGGTGAGGAATCTGTGGAATTTATTGCTGTGGGGGCCAAGTCACTGAATGTATTTAAGACAGAGATAGAGAGGTTCTTGATTGGTAAGGGGATCAAAGGTTATGGGGAGAAGGCAGGCAAATGGGGTTGAGAAACATATCAGCCAGGATTGAATGGCAGAGCAAACTCGATGGGCCGATTGGCCTAATTCTGTTCCTCTATCTTATCTTTCCAACCTTGGAACTAAAACTCCCTAATCCTGGTACCTCCACACTCTCTCACATCTTTCCTAAAGCATGGTGACCAGAACTGGGTGCAATATTGTGCACCTCTGCTAGACGCTACATTCTCTGGTTTGCTAGTCCAATTCCAGTTGATGCCCCCATCAACCCTCTTTGTGGCTGAGAAACGTCTGACAGGTATCTATTCCCAAACTCACCCATCCTTCCCGAGGAGGAACAGTGCTGGGATGTCATTGTCCCTGGCCGTGCCATCCCGCACCATCTCAATATACGAGCTGTCGTATACATATTGTCCGAGATGATCACTGCCCAGCCACCGTTCTCCTGGATAACATGAGCTTTGGACAAGAATGAGCAGGCCCTGCTGGACAGAGAGACACATACGAACATCTTGCATCCAATTGCTCCCCTTCCTTTTGTGCAGGGTCTGCTTGCCACAGTGGGTACACATTTCCCTGTCACTCTTCAATGCCTCAGGCAAGGGGATAGTTTTCAGAACACATTCCCAGAACTGCACAGGGTCAAGTGCTGGAAAATGAGATTAGAATTCACAGAATCCCTACAGTGTGGAAGAAGGCTGTTCAGCCCATCAATTCCACACCCAATCCTCCGAACAGCATCCCACCCAGACCCACCCCCTAACCTATCCCTGCTTTTCCCAGGGCTAAACCACCTAGCCTGTACAACCCTTGACACTATGGGTTATTTAGCATGGCCAACTCATTGAACCTGCACATCTTTGGACTGTGGGAGAAAACCAGAGTACCCAGGAAACCCAGGCAGACACGGGGATTGTTAATAGTTTGTTTTCCACTGGTGCAGACTTGATGGGCTGAAGGGCCTTTCTCTGTGCTGTAGACCTCTATGAACCCTATGAGGGGATGAAGACCACTCTTGTGGGATTGGCCTTTGATGATTGTAACTAATGATAGCGGCACTGACTGCACAGTGATTGGGGTCTGGGTTCCCCTCTCAAAGACCGAACATTATGTTATGTCACACACACTGCATTAATCCACTCAGACACAGGAAGGAGACAGTGGTGACAAAGCAGAATCTCAGGGATGCTCAGAAAGGTGCAACAGAGCCGCGATATTTCACACAAACCAAACTGCAGGTTATACTGAGTGCTGAACACTGAGGGATTCGAAAACCGTCCAATCCACAGGACGAGTCTACTCGATGATCCACTTTTGTCAAGGTGACCACTTGGATCCCAGGAACATGAATGAGCAGTAAATCTGATTAGAAAAGGAATCTTTCTGTTCATGTGAAGCTTTGATTCACTGGGAAATGTCTTCACAAACAAAGAGCTTATTTCGAGGGTGGAATGTAACAGCCTATCTGTGCACAGCAAGGTCACTGAAAATGCACAGTCAATATGTTTTTTTTAAATGTTTTATGTTAATATTTAGTTTTCTTTCAAGGGATGTGGGTGTCACTGACAAAGTCTATACTTATTGCCCACCCCTAACTGCCTTTCAACTGATTGGCTCACGAGGCCATTTCACAGAGCTGAATTAAGCCTTACTACAATTGTGCAGAGCTTTGCTGGGATACCATGTGTAAGGACTGCATTCAGTTCCAGGTACCACACTGAGGAATGTGGTCCTGACCTTAGAAAGGTTATAGTACAGATTCACCAGAGAGCTCCCAGGTCTGAAAGGGTTAATGATGGGAATAGGTTGCGTGAACAAATTTTTTTTTCCCAGTTTAGAAAACTAAATGAAAGGCTCTTTTCATGGAGTGGGAGTGTCCCTACCTCTAGACCAGGAGACCAACTTCAAGTCCCTCTGCTCTATAGCTGTGTCACATCATAGCTGATAAAGTTATTTAAAAAGATCTAGAAGATGGTTACAAGAGTGGAAAAGGATAGGTAAAAGAGTAACTACTGGAAGTGGGGAAGTGGGGAGTTGGATTACTGATCAAAGAGGATATCACAGCTGTGCTGAAGGAGGGCAGTATGGAGGACTCGAGCAGTGAGGCAATATGGGCAGAGCTCAGAAATAGGAAGGGTGCGGTAACAATGTTGGGGCTGTACTACAGGCCTCCCAACAGCGAGCGTGAGATAGAGGTACAAATATGTAGACAGATTATAGAAAGATGTAGGAGCAACAGGGTGGTGGTGATGGGAGATTTTAATTTTCCCAACATTGACTGGGATTCACTTAGTGTTAGGGGTTTAGATGGAGCAAAATTTGTAAGGAGCATCCAGGAGGGCTTTCTAGAGCAGTATGTAAATATTCCAACTCGGGAAGGGGCCATACTGGACCTGGTGTTGGGGAATGAGCCCGGCCAGGTGGTTGAAGTTTCAGTAGGGGATTACTTTGGGAATAGTGATCACAATTCCGTAAGTTTTAGAATACTAATGGACAAAGACGAGAGTGGTCCTAAAGGAAGAGTGCTGAATTGGGGGAAGGCCAACTATAGCAAAATTCAGCAGGAGCTGGGGAATGTGGATTGGGAGCAGCTGTTTGAGGGTAAATCCACATTTGATATGTGGGAGGCTTTTAAAGAGAGGTTGATTAGAGTGCAGGACAGACATGTCCCTGTGAAAATGAGGGATAGAAAGGGGAAGGTTAGGGAACCATGGATGACAGGTGAAATTGTGAGACTAGCAAAGAGGAAAAAGGAAGCATACATAAGGTCTAGGC